ATTAATTACTAGTCTTTATAATAACTATCTTTTTTAATAGCCATTAATTTTATAACTAAGATAATTTTTTATTAATTCTATTATTATCCATTATATTTATAACAAGTATAAATAACTGAAGTTTTATTTATCTTTTATAAGGTTTAGTTTTAATGTAAAATAAATCTTCTCATATTTCTATTAGGAGCTTGGACTAATCAGAATCTTTTTTAACTTGTTTCATATATTTTAAATAGTAAAATAGTAAAATTTTTTTAGTATTAAAATTGATCAAGATCATATAATTCAATTTATTAGATTATAATTGAATAGTATCTTTTTTTTTTAAGTATCCATAATTAGACTAAATTATCAATTTATTAATCAATTGAAAATATAAGTATATACTGTATATTATAATCAAATTATTATTTTAATCTAATTAACTTGTTATAAGCATAAAAGTCTCTAAGTTCAACCTTATAAACAATATTTCATTCCATAATATCTTTAAGTAAAAACTTTTCTAGTCTATTGTATAATTGCTTGCAAGTTGTTACTATTATATATCTAATCAAGTTTTACAATTTTTATTTGAGTTATTTAGTAAATTAAAATCACTGTCATATACAATATATTTATATAGACAAAGAAAAAAAGAAAAGAATAATATATCTATTATATACATTCTCAAATAAGCACTATATAGTGAACTCTTTCTAAATGCATATCTTGGAACCATAAGTGTAAGAGCGTGTATTTAGGGAATAATGCAAAAACGTGCATTTAGGGAAAGTATAGTAAATTCACATAATTCTAACACTTTATCTATTTATTGGTTAAAATATTGATCAATGCTTGTTTGTCGTATCGTATTAGCTTTTTTCTCTCTAATATATCTTTTGAGAATATTTACCATTTTTATGTGTTTACTTGTATTTTCTTGTTGCAGTAAAAATGCTTGTATGATTTCCAAGTCTTGTAATGACATACTGGCACTAAAGATGGGTCCCTAAAGGGGGAGACAGGGACATAAGTCAAATGTCCCTCACTAAGAAACATTAAAAATTTTAAATTAATAACTATAAAAAAACTATCCACAATTGTTCTCCATTATCCAAATCATTGATTTATAGCATTTCCTGATTTTTGTTCCTATTGAAGTGAAGAGTTATGAATTTTGTCCCTCAAAAAAAAACATATGTGATCTGCAAAATTTTATATACTAAATACTTTAGGGACCCATCATTAACTGGCACTGATAACTACTATTTCAATACTATCACCTACGTCTTCCAAACTATTACTGCTTTCAGCTATTTTGAATATATTTATAAGCTCTGCTGTTAGTTAATCGTCACTAAACACTTTATAAACAATGTCTTCCTCAGAAATTGACAAAAACTCTTCAACTTCCATTGACTCAGAAAGATTAAGTTTTTCAAAGACTTTACAAACTTCATTGGATATAGTGTTTTCAGCTGTACGAACGTGATCTGAGAGATTTCTTAAGTTAGCATTAATACTAACAGGAAGAATGTTGGTATGACATTAACAGTTATGAATTGTTTCTGCTGTGATTTCTTCCCATACTTTAATAATATATTAAAGGACTTGAAAAATGTTTATTTTTAAAAGTTCTATTTGCTGTCTACCTTCAACCTGTTCCAACATCCACCTAAATATTAAAAAAGTTAATATCTTCTTAGACATAAACCAAAAGAGAAAATGACAATAATATCTTATAGCATTTGATAATGGTGATAATGTCATTTAAATGCCATTATGATTCCAGCATCCATTGGCTGAATCTTTGTGGTTGTATTTGGTGAAAGGAAGTGAACATCAATATGATGAATCATTAAACCTTCCAATCTATAGCTTGGACAATTATTGATGAGCAACAAAACATGATTATCATCATGTTTTTTAGTAACCTTCCTATCGAAATACTGTAACCATTTCTGAAAGAGAGATGTAAACATCTAAGTTTTTATATTATTTCAATATATTATTGGCAAATTACGAATATTGACATGTTTAAAGTATTGTGGTTTTGTATATTTGCTGATTACAAGTGGAGCTAGCTTATATGATCTATCAGCATTTGCACAAAGTGTAATTGAAAGTTATTCTTTATCTTTTTTGCAAATCTGCAAGACGTCTCATAGTCAATGACTGATCTGGCTCCAGTTTAAATAGTACATTTAGTATAGGATTCTTACATTAAATATTTTATCACATAATTACTATATTTACCGATAGAAAAGACCAGTCTCGTCCATGTTATAAATATGTTCAGGAGGATAATTAATGCATAGTTCATGCAACTATGGCAGGGCCTTGATAATGACATTCAAATTAACTGATGCTCCTTTTCCTTGAAGCTTTATTTGATAAATATTGTTTCGACTTTTGAATTTTTGAAGCCATCTTATGAAAAGTTTAATACACCTTTAGAAATTCTCAATCTATTTGTTAGTGTTTTGGCTCATTCAATTAGAATAGCATCACTTAGTACTATTTGATGCTGATGCATTAAAACAAATTCCCTAAGAGCTTGTTTGAGTTTTGGATATGTAACTGATCAGTGTTTTTTTGTGTTGAAGCAATAATTTCCTCCTCAGAAAGTAACTGATTGTTTCTTTGCAAAATTTGTGTTATGGTAGATTCATTAATCCTGACTTGCTATTTATTTTCGATTCAATTAATATACTTCACACGAGATTTCTTATTATTGTGAGCATATAGACAAAGTTCATATTTTTGCAAATCTGTCAAAAGTTGTCTTACTTTTTGGAGACATGATGAATTGTTTTTATTAACTATAAAATTTCAGTACAATCTTCTAACCAACAATAAGTTATAAATGATTTTTATGACTATGACCATGATGTCATTCTTAAATAGAGATTACTGTTTCAATTATAAATTGTTACAGAATATGATATTAAGATGTTCTGACTATTGATGTCTAAATAAATATATGATCTAATATTAATAGACAATGTTACTACAGAATTGTATTCACGTATATCAAATATAACTTGATACCAGAAAATAGTTCGCTTGTATAAAGTGGAATAATTATAGCACAGACTCTCTATTCGTTACATTTTATGATCCAATAATTTGTTATTGTCTTATGACTTAGGAATGGTAAAGTCTTTAACTCGCTGAATTTTTATTGGTAATAACATTAACTGAATATAGTATATTTAGTTATTGGGTTATGTGCGTACATTTAGGGAGATTATTTTCATATAACCGGGATTGCAAAATCTATTGCACATGCAGAATATAGAGAGTTTGCATTTAGCATTAAGTCCTGAGGTTGAGATTATCAAATAGCATGCATTTAGGGAGACTGTACATTTAGGGAGAGTTCATTTAATGAGAGTTCACTATATATATCAACTATTATAGTAAACTATTATATACAGTATATGACTAATTATATCAATCATATTATATATATATAAGTACTACTTTAATAGAAAACTACATGATTTCATTTTAATTATTTCCTATATATTTTTATTGTATACTAGAATAGGTAAATTATTAGGTTATTGAATATAGTATTCTGAATCTTGTATTTTGATCCTTTAGAGTGGTTTATAAATTTCTTTTCTTATTAAGATCTTCCAATAGTTAAGTAAATAAGTAGTATAAAGATCAGTGCTTAATTATTAGCAATATTCTACTAGTTTCTTATGTTATTATTTTGTTTTATGCTTTGTGTAATTAGATGATATTATGATAATTTTAACTAATTTCAAATATTATAGTTAATTATAATCCTTATATAAACTGTATTACTTATTAATAGATATTTTTTTTTTCAAATATCTTATAATAAATAGCTATATTTAAAAATGTTAATTGAATATGATTAAATTAATAGATATAGATTTTTATTAGCTTCAAGTATTATCTTCTAGACGATTTGAACATATATCTTATAATTAGATTTATGGAGTACCAACTATTGTACTATTGATTCATAGATCTATTATGATTGGATAGTATTATTTAGATTAATTGTATATTAAGTATATATATGGCAAATGAATATACAATTTATACAATAAAATCTAAATTGTGACTATTATTGTTAAGTAAGATTGAATTGATATTTTATGAATAGTGATCTGGGAGTATTTCTATTATACTATTAATCTATATATCAAGAAAAAAATTATTGAAAAAAATATATTCTAGTAATAATATATATTTAAAAAAAAATATATTCTAGTAATAATATATATTTAGAAAAAAATATTAAGAAATAAATAATTAAAAATAAAAAATAAATTTTTAATTATTTATAAAACTTTAAAAAATTTAATAATCTATAAATACAGTATAAAACTTTATAATTAAAGAATAATCCAAATTATAAAAGAAACAAAATATAATTTTCTAAGTTATTTAAAAAAATTAACTTAAATAATAGGTAAATTGACTTGTAAAAGTTATTTAAATTATAAATATTTTTTTAATATACAATAAAAGACGTTATTGGCAAGTTAAAAACTATCATAATTATTATTAGTATTGAAAAATTTAATAAATAAATTAAATAAAAATATTTAAAATTTTATTTTTTTTCTCTTTAATACATATTTAAAATAAAAATTTTCTTTTAATAACAATTTTTAGTTTTAACATCTATATAATTATTTGTTATTTGAAGTATAAATAGATAAAATACTGTAATTTATTAATTTAATATCATAAGATAGATTATTTTAAGTCTCACATCAAAGCATAACATATGAAGGTTTTTACGCATTATAAAATTTCAACAATCATTTAAATAACGTGTCACGCACTCCAAATATCACAAGTGTATAATATTGCATCTCGTTAAAATAGCACGCGATTTTTTATACGATCAGATAAAATTACGCAGCAAGAGATTTTATATTTTCACCTTATAGAAAAAGAAACAGACTCCTTAATCTCGGATTCCGCTCAATTCTTGAATTGATCACGTCTATTTCCTCTTATTAAATTCATTTATCATTTGTCAACGAACTTCTCAAATCGCCGATCATCTTCTTCCACTGATTTCTGCACGATCTCGAACTTTTACCGTCAACCTTCTCCGCCACAGTCTCCCAATTCAAAACGTCAATTTCTTCCAAGACGGCATCCAACAACTGCAGTCGTTGGGAATTAGTCCGGTTTTGTTGATCACTACTTTTTCTCTCCTTAGCAGAGGAAATACTGTCTATAGAACTAACTGAAGAGGAGGCTCGACTAGAAGCAGCTTTTTTCGAAACAGCCTTATCTTTGTCAGATGCTGTCTTCTTCAATGTTACCTTTTCAGCTACGGCTTTATTAGAAGGTAAAGATCTAGACATGGATCTTGTGATTCTCGATTTTGAAGTCTGTGGTTTCAAGGATACAAAAGATTCTTGCTTAAAGGACTCCGGATTCTGCGCCGCTAGTTTGGAGTTGGAAGACTCCGGCGCGTTGTCATCGTATTTACTGGGATCATACTCGATATATACGATGGGATTGAGATATTCCCGTGTTTCTTGAGATTCAAGTCTCATTTCACTGTCATCTTCATTGACCAACGAAAGAGTACCGGATGAAGAACGGGTTCGTTTAATGCCGTGGGTTTTAGCCTCAACCTCGTTATCTGACATTCTTTTTTTACAGGAATATTTGGCACATAATAAATATAAATGTTTGAAGTCATTTATTTATTAAATGCTCAAAATTTATCTAAAGTAAAACGATTTAAATTTTATTTGCTTTAAAAAAATATTTTTATTGCTTACGTTTTAATATCATAAAAGCGCGGATCACTTCTCTTCAGGAGATTCTTGATTAGAATTATCAACAGTACCAAAACGAGAATGAAAAGAAATCAAATGGTTAACATTTTGCGCAGAAGTCAATTATATTGATGACTAATTGTTTTCTTCTACAAAGTCGTCACGCAATTTTTTATATACGGTATGTCGGACTTGGAATTTATGAAGCGTAGTTCTTTAATGATGTCATAATGAAATAAGAAAATTAATTATATATTAAGAGATACATATTTTTATTTAATTAAATTATATATACAGTTCATCTTTATTATACAATATATACAATTTTTTTTTTAAAATATCCAATTGATAGGACGGAACTTTATTGAGGTGTTCTTTAATTACATGAACAGTTCATATAACTATTTTTAACTACCTATCCTTTCTAAGTTTACAATTTTGCCATATAATGGTACCATTTTTTGTCAGTTGCCTTGCTCTGCCCAGGCCTATAGCATTCTAAGGATTCACTATCAGACTTCTATTTTCATCAAGAGATTTGATATATGTTCTTTAGTACAGTATATGATTTGCTCACTTCTTGATAGTTGTGGATACTATAATCAATCCTTACCATGTTTAGTCCTCAATAGGCTAGTTGAAATTTAAATTAGTATAATTTTTCAATTATGTTCTTGATATCTAGGTGATTCAATGGTGTTACAACAATTGAGTGGCATATAATCTTCTATTGTTTCATTTTAATTACTTTTGTAAGTTGATTTACAAAGATTATCTTCTATGATTTCTAATATGATGTTAATATTTAATATCAGTCTTCATAATAGCTATTCTTTTTGATAGCTATTGATATAATAATCGATAATTTTCTATTAATTTACTTTCTGATCTATTATATTTTTGACAGATACAAATGACTAAAGTCTTTTTTATTTTCCATAGAATATAGTTTTAATAAAAGATAGATTTACTTTTTATATTCATTAAGAAGTTTGGACCAATCAGATTTTTTTTTTACTTATCTTTAGAGCCTTTGCATATTTCAAATAACAGGAATTGTGATTTTTCTTGATACTAAAACCAGCCAAGACCATATGATCTAAGTTATTATATATTATAGTTAAATGATGAATTTTTATAAGTTGTTTTTATATAGAAGTATATATATAGTTGATAAGCATGTATCTTGTACAATATAACCTATATTATGAAAACTATTCTAGCATGAAATTGAACCAGTAATTTGCAGATAATAATTTGGAAGTATATTCACTATACTATTGATTCACAGGTTTACAATATATAAAATTTAAAACTCTTTAATATATTAAATTATTTTTTTTTTTTTAATGAAATAATATTAAATATAAGAGGAAAAAAACTTTTCTACAAAAAATTTTCAATCGCAAAAAATTTCCTTATAAGAAAATAAAACAAAATTTTAACTAGAAACAAAGCCAAAGTGACTAGGGCTCCTCCCAGGAGCCTCTCTAAGTTTCAAAATGAGTTCTCAATATTAGATATTGTTCTTTCAGACATTTCAACTTCAAAAGTTTCAATAGTTTACAAACAAAATATGACCTCAAAAGTTTTTTTAACAAAACCTGCTAATAAAACTACTGTCTCACTTCTTCTAAACTATCCTGACTGACTAATTTTTATCTGCAAAACCAATTCCAGTGATCTTGAAGTTATCCAAATTATTTTCACCAAGAAACATACAAGAGTGTTCACTCCTTCTCTCCATGTTTTTACCCAGAAAATGAAACACCTTGATATTGAAACACTAAATATCTTTATAAACTATCAAACAAGATTCTATCTTGAAAAAGATGACAGAGAGCTTGCCATTCGGGAAGTGGTCAAAAACATCTTGAACTATAAGCTCCTTTGACCTTAGAACCGAATATCCATTTTTATCAATGACAACCTTGATATTTTCTTTCTCAAAAAAAAAAGAAGACACCAAACCTTTCTCCCAATACTCCAGTAGCACAATATAATCCTTCTTGTACAACAAAAATTCTCAAGGAACCTTTCTTTTAATATGAATCAACATACAAATCACCCTATAGCACAGATCCTATAGACCAACTAGACATGAAAATAAATAAACATTATATAAATGATACAATGAACCTCCCTGATGATGTGACTAATACCCGATCATGGGCAGACCAGGTAGACAGTGGGGATAACTTGCCTTCCATCACCACAGGTGTGAAGTCACCAGAGGTCCAGTCCATAGAAGAAAGTCCTCCAGCTCAAGAGAGCCTATTCATAAAAAACAAGAAGCTAACAAAGAATTCTATAATAGCATTGTATCCTGTGAAAGAAATCCAGAAGCCATAGTATTACTATTTATTAAGCTTAAAACTTTTCCCTGAATTCCCTTATCAATTACTATCAAAGTTATCTTAACAAAGATTGAATATCGAGATAAAGCTTTTTTCTGATTCTTCGTAAAAACTAAAGTTATCAAGGGAAAATACCAAGTGAAATATAAAATAATCAAAAAAGAATTCCACAATAACTACATGAAAAAGCACAATATTGGCTACATTAACTGAACAATAAAAAAAAAAATCCATACTATTTTAAACTCATTTATCTTTGCAACATTTCTTCAGACTCAAGATTTCTCCACATTCAAATTTTGGCAAGTAGTTGAACTTCTAGAATACAGGTTCAACTTCTTTATAGATCTGACAAAGGAAAAAGTAAATTATAAAGAGCTCCTGCAAGTGATGGAAAAAATAATCAAAGATAATTTTTTAAATTTACTAGAATATCCAAGCGAAGTCTCAACTAAAGTAAAAATCAAACTCCCACATGTCTTACCGATCCAATTTTCAAGTCAAAGGGGCCTCATGGCAAATGCCCTAAGAAGCTTCTACAACTGTGACCTTTTGCCTTCCAATTACTTTGTAAAACTTACTAAAATTCCCAGCTATCCAGATGAACTTCCAAAAAAATGACATAAAATCTTTCCAATCAGAGAACAAAAACAACTCAGATCCCTGGATTTAATACTCAGAGAGCTTCGTGACAGCTTCTACATCTCTAACAAACTTCCTGAGAGCTATTTTGACTTGCTCCATCCAAGAAGCCATTACTTGACACTTACTAAATACTACCACAAGACCTAGCAATGATGTTTCCAATTATCAATGAATCTCATGTAATAAAAACAGTAATCAAAGAACTATGAGACAACAACTACGTAATTAGATTTCTTCCTAATAATTATTTCATCCAGAAACTCCCCCTTCCTCAACTTTACTGACACAGTGAAAATACTAAAATAAGCCTTCCAATCAAAGACCAAGAGTTGGTAACAGAGTTGCTCCAACAACTTCACTCTAGATACAAGTTCAGACTTCCTTTTGATCCTAAGTAGATTGATCCATCATTAACTCAAATTGATTATTCAATTATGTCAAAGGATTTCAGCAAAATAGCAGATAAATTAAACATCACCCAACAAGTACTACATAGAGAAAATCTGAAGTTTCAAGAAACTATCCAAACCATTAAAACACTTTATTATGGTCTCATCCCTGGGAGTGGATTACTCCTTTGCTACCTGATTTATTTACCCTCTAAGCAACCTCAGAATACATAAAGCAAAAAGACATCACTCTTTAATTACCACTCAATGATGCCATAGATCTACCGACAAATATTTCTACTCTCAAACAACCTTTCTATTTTAACAAACTCACTCAAAACTTTATTGCAGAAATAAAACTATCAGAACCTAATATAGCCTTGATACCAAATCTCTACTGACATAAACAATAAATCAGACTCAAACTTTAGTCATTTCTTTAATATTACGAACTGCTTCAATACAATACCTATATTCTCACAAAAAGAAAAAAAAAAAGATAACAACATCAAAAACCTTTTGACAATATCAGTCCTTAATGTCAAAGGTCTAAACCAAGTTGAAAAACTATCATGTCTAGTCAACTCCCTTCTCAATTCAAGAGACATTACTATTTGCACTAAAACAAATACATCATGAAACATTCTCTTCCTAATAGAGTATATAATTACATAATCATTACTAGCAAACTAGCTTCTCCCCCTAGTAATGAAACCTGTATCATTATATCCAAGTTGCTCTCACTATACATCTTTATAACATATTCTGAAAATAAATTCTGATGTGCCATCTACTTAAAATTTAGATAAAAAATAAGTGTTATTGTAATCGCTTTATATCTTCTATACAGCAACATAATGAGAAACACAGCCATTTCCTCCTTACACAAGTTTATTAAAGATCACTCTAATCACAAATTCATAATTGCAGGAGACTTTAACACATTCCTTCTTGACATACCATCGATCAATGCTTCAACAAATAACAAAAAGAGAAAAATCTACAAATATCTTTGAGACTTTATCAATGCTGCTAAAATATTCTTGAAGAAACATCTATACACATATACAATATCAACCAGTGCATCCAGAATAGACCAGATGTGATTAATGCCTGGACTCGCTAACAAACTTCTTAGTTATAATGTCAACAACCTTACTCCCATCAACACTGACCATAGTTGCATCAAAGTTTGCTTTCAATGGTTCAAATATAAACCTCAATGCATCAATTTCTCCATCAAAACTTACTTATTTAATAATGCTACAATTGAACAGCTTAAAGTATTTAAAGAGGAGATATCTCTAAATCTTAGTTTAGATCCTCATCCAAAGTGGCTAGCCTTAGAGTTGCTAATTAAAAAAGCTTTAGAAAACAATATTCCAAAAAAAAAAGTATAATGCCCAACTAAATCAAAAAAACTCTTCCTCAAATTAGACAAGGTCATAAAACAAGTAAAAAATGCTCTCAAAGATAT